AGCGAAAGTAGCAAAAGCAGTAGTGGTGTAGATGCATTCACCATCAGTAGTGAAGGCAGGCAGGCAAAAACAGCACTGCATCTCCCTCAGACCCCTTTCTGTCTGGATTGCTGCCAAAAGGTGCTGCCATCTGTAAAGGGGGAATCTTCCTTCCCCAGCTATCAACCTTTCCAGGAAATGGCCTCAATCATCACCCAGAGACTTGCCTTAGTTAAAATCAGATCCACTCAAGTTGACAACCAAAATCAACTATCACAGCTGCTCTGGTAAACTATGACTGAAATAGCATCAGCTCTCCATCTGGTTTAATAGCATTGCCCATAAAGATCAAGTCTATACCATTTTGTTGTATTCTCAGACTAAGAGGGACAACTCCTAGTGTTTGAGATCCCAACTTTTAAAGGCTCTTAAACACTTCTTGATACTATAGAAAAACAAAATAGGCATCCTGACTCTCAGTCAATATCTTACATTTTCTTCAGAAAAATTTATTCTAGGACTGCTCTCACATCATCCCTGTCACTGTCTATAAAATAGAAGAAAATGTCACTGTCTTTCTCCTAAAAACTGTCACTGGGACATACTGGCGAGACCTCTCCATCCCTCAAAAGTTTCCGGAGGGTTTAGCTCATCAAGACAAGCCTTGGCTGTATGTGCATGGGCACATGTCCATGCCCACTGTCTTACATAAATAGAAACTCCAGTGTTGGTATTTGAATATTTAATAGGAGATTCCATTAAAAGTTATTTATGCTTAAAATGACCCTATGTTTTTCACAATCCAATTATACTACTTATGAGAACTACATCTATTCTATCATTTTCCTTTTCAAACTGCAAGAACTAATTAATTTGCCTCCTCGAGATATTAATTAAGGTTCAGTTTTGTAACGTGCTATGATACTTTCAAAGTTCTCTCCCGGGGTCCATGTCATGCTAATCCAATGAGACAGGCACTATTGTCTTCACTCTACAGGTGAGGAAAACAAATTTCAGAAGGTTCCCATGACAAAACTAAACCAGAACGTTCGCAAGTGCTCCTGGCACTGAGACTGTGGTGTCTGCCATGTGCCACTGGCAGCTCCCTTGGCAGCTGAGTTCTCACATGCAGACACCCTCCCCATCGCAGCAGACCTAACGGTGCTTGAATGGGGTGATGGGCCAGATAGAGCGTAAGAGGAATCCATCTGAGGACTATGCCAGCTCTTCAAACAGGAACCCAGAGAAAATCCTAGCAGACACATTTAAGGCATCTTGCACACAGGGAACTTGAACTGCATGTATATTGGGCATACCAGCACATCCCACAGAGAAAAACCTACATGAGAACATGTGGACTTGTCCAGAGGTCAGAGTCTATAGTTGAGGTGCTTGGGGGTCACGGTGAGATTGAAAGATTCTCAGGGGTCATAGAAAAAATAACCTCAGAGTTCGTCAGGCTTAACAGTCTAAGGCATACAGGCTTGCACAAACATTTCTACAGGAAAGTGGTAAATGTTCTAGTCCCTGAGTCCTGGACTCAGCAGCCTTTATGTTCCCTCCCTTTTTCTTCTTATCCTCACTTGCCATTCTTAAGCAGCATCTAACCAAAAGGTCACTTCAGAACTTTGCTTACCCACACGAGCAAACACTTTCCAAGCTCTATTCCCAGGCCTAGATATTCCCCTTTGGCCCTCTAATTTTCAGTACAATGGACCAGATCTATTCCTACCAGCTGGCAGGAAGTGCGGTGGGATGTTTACTCCTTGATCAACCCTCCTGAAAAGAATCAGTGGGACCTGGCGATGCTAAGAGACATAGAAAAGATGTTCCCTGCCAATGAGGACACTAACAGGAGCATCAAAGCTAAAAGGGATGGAAAGCAGAAAGGAAATAGCCAAGCGGGCACAGAGGTGAGTGTAGGCAACTCATGGAAGGGAAAGATGATGGCCATCACACTAAGCCTTGGAAGAAAGGCCTGGTCTACTGGACTTGATCCAGTAAACAACTCCCAAACAGGTCAGGAACAAAACAGCTTATATTAGGTTCTGCAGTCCCATAGAATAAGAGTATAGAGAACATACCTATGTGTTATTTAAAAAAAAACATACACACACACACATAGGCATGGGAGGATGGCCGAGTGCCTGGACAGAAGAAGGCATGAAGAAATTCTCTAGCAGATATACATGGTAGTAGAAAGCAACATTCAATGAAGTAGTTTTCTCACCTGGAATTGCAAACGCTGGCTTAGAGCAGAACCATCGGCCTGGCACCTCTAAGAAGGAGAACGGGTGATTCCTAAAGTGTCTCTGCCAAGCTCCTGGAGAGATTCTCTGGCCTAGACAGCAAAACAAACTGAATAAGGCTCAAATCCTTTCAGTTAACTTTCCCATACTTATAAATTCCATCAAGTTTTAGAGCAGTGAATCAGTGTGTGGTTCTAGTGCTTGGAGGAAGAGAAATCGGTGTTGCTCAAGCTGGACCACGGGCAGGAGCCTCCCCTGGAGAATTCTTCATGAAGGGTCCAGGATGAATCCTGAATTTTAACGCTTAGGTGGCGTGGCATTGAAGACAGACAGGTGGAGTGAGGAGCTGCGACAGTAGATAAAGCACTGGGCCTCACACTTTTGAGCAGGATGGTGTGGGCACCGTGGATAAATACCTCGGAAAGCCAAACGGCTTCTTAGGCCTGCTCTCTTGGTCCTCTGCGGAAGGCTGTCGACTCCCACTGAACCCTGTTTGTCTGTGAACACACGTGCATGTAATTCATTCACACTAAAGCAGAAAGGATGTGTAATCCTTTAGTCAGGAAAGCCCATAAGCCTTTGAGGAGCCTCGCTACTTAGAGAACTCCCTTCCTTCTCCCTGCAGCAGCACAGCACAGGGCATTCATTACTTTTCTGTTGCTGTAATAAAAGTCAGGCGCCCAAAAGCAACTTAGCGGAAAGGGGGATTTACTTTGGCTTACGGTTTCAGAGGGATATAGACCATCAAGGTGGGGAAACCATGGCAACATGGGAAGTGGGGCCAGACTATAAAAATCTCAAAGCCAGGTGACGTATTTCCTCCGGTAAGGCTCCACCCCCTAAATGTTTCATAATCCTCCCAAACAGCGCTACCAGCTGAGGACCAAGCGCCTGTGGGGGTCATTACCCATTCAAGCCACAGCATGTGGAGAGGTCACAAGCCGCCACATCTGTGGCTAAGGAAAGAAAGGTCCGGGGATTCTACATTGGACCTAGCTCTTGCCTTGCTGTGTGTATCCTGCAATAGTATTTACATTTAAGCTGGGATTTCCTGAAATAGCATCTCGACCATGTGCTTACCAGAGTAGACCTCAGTAAACTCCTTTTATACTCTTTTCTATGCTGTTGCCTCCACCTGCTTTAGCTTATCATGAGAGCCAAGCATTTCCTGCCCCAGCTCCCAGGCATAGTGGTTCTTCTGCCCCCTGTCACCCCATCTTGCCTCCTGCCTCCTTGCTATCTATCCTCCCCAGTGTGTTACCCAACACTCCCTCCTCCAGGGAGACCAGAAACTCCCTGCGACTTCTTTTCTCCTATCATTTTCCTTTGTGACATTTAATATAATTTGTAAGTATCTTTTAATCCCATATAGGTTTGTTGACTTACCATCTGACTTTCACACTGGAGTGTAGATCCCAAGTGGGCAAGGACTGTGTCTGTCTAATTGTTCATGATTCTCTGGAGCACCCAGCGCAGAGCCGAGCACATGAGCAAGCTCCTTTATCTGTTCCTATGACCTCTTTATGGATGACTTCCTACAGTTTCCCTAGCAAATAAAAACTGAAGTTTTATGGAGCCCACAGTGTCTTTTACCAACATTTATCCACACATTGAGACATGGGTTGTGTTCTCTGGTTGTTCCATGACTCTCTAATCACATGACCAGTTGCCCAAGGGCTGAAACTCTTTTGGAACATTTTTGAAATCACTGTGTATCCACTCTAATAGTGGAGAATGCTATTGGCACTCAGCAGTTTCTTGATAAATGAATCTAGGTCATCTTGGCAAGCCAGCATTCCCCTTCTGCATGGCAGGAATCTCCACATAACACACGTGGAGATACCTCTGCAGTGAGATCTTTTCCAGCCAGCGCTCTGCTTCCGTCTTCTCAGATTACTATTTTCAGTTTCAATAAGAACCAAACAATCTTATCTTGAAAGGAGATTGGATTTATTTTCAATAAGAAGTCTGAATTGGGAGCTTATATTTTTTTTTCTCCAGAATATAATAACGGCACAAGTAAAGCCTTACACTACACTTCTCATGTACGAGAGAACAAAGCTTCCAGATAAACTTTCTGGTGAGGTAAAAGTAAGTCTGATAAAACCCAACCTGTTCAGTTTCCCCGGGAGCCTGGAGAGGCCACACCGTAGGACCACTAGACACAGAGTGTTTCCAGCATCCTGGACTGGGAGGAGACATGAAAGCCAGCAGAAAACTCCTTGGAGACTGTCTTCAAGCATAGGCGGGCTGGATACTCACCTCTGCTAACGTCAGGAAACTGTCACTTTTGAAATCCCACCCTTTTGTTCCACTCACCAGCAAAGCAGAGCAAAAAGGTCTAAGACAAGGATGTTAAGTCCCAAGTGACCATTTACTAAACGGGAATTTCAGCATTCATTCTCTTATTTTAACTGCAGTTTTCCAGTTTGTTGCCTTACTGATAAAGCCTCGGGTTGCTCATTTTTTCAGTATTCTCTCTGTCTGTCTAGATATGAATCCAAGTATGTATGTATGTTTGAATTTTTATGTGCTTCAGAAATTTTTGAAGACAGAACAAATTCTGTGTAATCTCCACAGAATTGATAGTTGATCTTACAGCACGGGCTAGGTTTTAAAAGCAGAAAGAAAGAAAGGTAAGTTTTGTGAAAATCAGCTACACCATGAAACCTGCCAACATTGGTATGCTATCTCTTTGTTGCTTAATCGCTGGTCTCCAGTTCTGGCTGGCATTATGACAACCGCTGACTTGCACCTTCTCTCTGCTCTCAGGCCGTGGCAGTCCTGAAGGTTGATGGAGGGCCATGCTATTCAAACAGCAGGTGTGGCTGAGACAGAAGCTCCTGGTGCTGGGAAGCCTTGCCGTTGGGAGTCTGCTGTATCTAGTTGCCAGAGTTGGGAGCTTGGATAGGTAGGTGGTTAAATACATGCTCTCCACTCATGCAGCCTTCTGTATCTCCTGATGTGAGCTTCCTTGGGCTATAACTTTGAGTTAATCCTTTTTTTTTTTATTTCCCTCAAGACTTCCAAGAAAAAACACTTTTCTGTGCTGTTGATTTTGATTCATTAAGACCTTAAAGGTACAAATTCCACACAGCTCAAACCAAGATGCTTCATTCAAATTAATCTGTATTCTGGGAGCACTGACACTCGTGCTCAGAGAAGGCATAAAGATAGGCACATAATAAATAAATAAATGATACCATCACTGACTAGAACCCAATGTGGCCTGTGTGTACCTGGTGCTGACCGTCAGCCATGACGGCACAGTGGTGATTGGACTATGTCTCTTCATTTTGAAATTTATGAGTGGACAATTATGTATGCACCAGTAAAGAAGCTCATCAAGCTTGCAGTCCCCTGTCCTGGAAGGATGGTTACGGGCATGGATTTTTAACTATGTTAATTAACTCTGGCGTTCGGGTACCCAACAAGGATGCTGTCACACAGAATGATTTCCCAGAAGGCATTGGAAAATCCATAGAGAGGAAATTACAGCATTGGGGGTTGGCTCTTATTAGGCAAACTGTTGAGAGGTGCCGGGCCTGCTGGAGTCCTTATCATGACAGTTGCATGTCCCTGAGATGTTCTTTCATGGTTCTACAGTCAGTGTGACAGGGTAATATTGAGAGCTTAGTTTCTGAAATAAAGAAGCTGCTATTTTCGCCCTTTCAATTAATTCTTGTAGAGAAAGACTAGATTTTTTTGTCCTATTTTGTTCCCAAAATCAACAAAAAAACATCCACATTTTTAAATGGAAACAGCTTCAGTTTTCTTCTCAATATCCTGTCATTCCAGTGTTTTAAAGCAATACAACAATGGTCCTTACTTTCCTTCAGCCAGTGTCCAGCTTAACTGATAAACATTAACCCCCTTTTGATGTTTTCCCATTAAAAATTCCTTCTACTTGGTAATTGTGGCAGATCTAACTGCGAGTTTATCACTCAGTGCTGGCATTCCAGTGTTTATTCTTGACGTGCCATTTAATAGTGAAAAACCTTGAGATAGCAACATTTGACCTATGTGTATAACAGAACTTTAATATGAAGTCTTCCCAACATCGTTAGTTGCCGATCGTTGACATTTTATTGAGTAATTGGTCCTATAGCTATGAACACATTTATCAATCAGCTAGTAGCAGTTTTCCTCTCAACTCTTTAGTGGGATGGCTTGTATAAGAAATTTCATCATCTTGTGGTCTTTCCCACAGTACATTGCTTAAGAATTTGAACACATTTTGTCTGAAAATGGCACGTGCTTCTTCAGGCTTATCCTTAGTAACTGGAGACTGCTTTCTGGGAGGAAGCCTGAGTTACTTCCCTTGTCTCTTCCAGTGTTAAATTCTGCTTTGGGTCTGGCAGCCTTAGAACTGCTCTTCAAGGAGCAGGGGAGTGAGATATTTTCTCCTATCTTTACCTGTTCTTTTTTACTGGGGGCATCCATTAAGCAACTGTCCTTATAGAGTTTGATCTTCCAGGGTAGGAAGTAGAAAGAAGAGGCAAGTTCAGAAAGAAGGCAGCCCTTTCCAGATAGGAGTTCCATCTCTGCTTAGTTACTCTTGTAGATGTCCTTGTCAACATTTTTCACCCAGGGTTGAGCAAGAGAATTAAATCTTAGAGAATAATATTTGAGAGATGATTGCTTCAGTGTTCACAGAAATGGTACTAGCGTCATTCTACATACCTAGGAGACATGTCCGTCAATGGATATCACAGTGAAATAGTACTAGCTCTATAGATAGAGCCCAAGAAGGGCAAAAAGGCTAATTTATACTATCCTCAAAGGTGCTACAATCAAAAACACTTTTAACCATGTATCTGCCGACAACTTTGTAGCATTCAATTAGAACCCTAGAATAATAATTCCAATGAATTTATAAATTCACATTTTCCTAAAAACAACTGTTGTCCTGGTTCGTTTGATTTTTTTTTCAATGATACAAGATTAACTCAAGTGGGAAGAGGGGCTCTCTATTGAGAATATAGTTCCATCAGATTGGGCTGTAAACAAGCCTGTAGTGTAGTTTTTGATTGATGTAGAGGGCCCAGTACATTGTGGACAGTGCCACCCTTGGGCAGTTCATCCTAAGAAAGCAGACTAAACAAGCCAGTAAGTTGCTTTCCTCCAGGATTTCTGCCTTAGTTTCTGCCACTACGTTCCTGTCATGGGTTCCCACCCTGATTTCCTTCCATGATGGACTGTGATATGGGAGTGAAAGCTGAAATAAATTGTTTCCTCCCTAAGATTGGTTTTGGCCATAGGTATTTTATCACAGTGAAAGGAACCCTAGCCAAAACAGTGATGAGCCCTGTTTTCACAATGGATTTCCATTGCTTGTTTTCAACTTTCTGAAATGGGTGTGAGTTGTTTCAAGAATCATTGAATAAATATTAGAAAAACTAACACATGTTTTTATTTTTCTTGAAGATTATGATATAGGCCTAGGTAAACAGAGCAAACCCAATGCCATGCCCCTAAGTTTTACACAATCAGTTGAACATGGCTTGAAGATGCAATGCGGCCTCTTAGGAAAGCAAGAGACAGCCTCATTGCCACAGAGGAGAGAGACTCCAAGTTACTGCAGTCATTAGAAAATTTCATCTGGAAGAAATAATTTAATAGCCATTTTGATTGGTATTATCCCCTTTGACCAATAAGCCTAAAATGACTTCCTAAATCAACCTAGTTGATTTTTTAATTAGAGTGAATTTTAACTTATCATCATATTATATATAAAGCTACACACAATTTTCTAACCATATGTAGAGGCCATGTAAAAGTAGTTATTTTGTTCTAATATTATTGTGGCTATTACTATATCTTTCTCAGCAAAATATAGAGTTGTCTATCGTTCCTGGTTCTATCCATTGCATTCCTTATCTTACAAACTCTAGTTCCTGAATTAAATTGCATGGGATGAAATTTTGGGATTTCTGGCCCCATCAAAGTCTTTCTTTCAGATTTCTGGTTGCAGGAGTGGTGGGTCATACAGAAAACAATGATATTCATACCATCAGCAAAATGGATGCAGAAACTTGACCTTTTTAGATAGACATGGGAAGAGAGTCAGAAGTAGAGCCCTCTTCTGCCTATCCCCAAGAATGGGGGGACAGAAATTCTCACAGAATAAAAATGTTCAGCTAGGACCAAGACTGGAGTTCTGCATAATGGTGATGCAAAGAACCAATCAGAGGGATCGGAGCCCCCTCTCCAACTGTATCTCAAGGATACTAAGGGGCCATGTGAATGGCACTAGGCTGCCAAAGGAGAAGAACAAAAGAAAGAAACAATTCCACACAACGCCTGAAATAAATGGCCCCCTCTTTGCCCTTCAGCATCTTAGCTGAAGATTATAATCTTCTGCCTTCCCAATTTCTGAATGATTTTAACTGGTGAGCTGTTAAAAAGCTATTAGTATGGCTGGTGTCACTTGTCTATCTTGTACTGTGAGCATAAGTACACGCCGTAGTCAATTAAGTGCTTGGTGAATAAAATTTTTAAGGAGCACTAATAAAAAAATCCCATCAATTATGTGTGCTCCACTGAACACAGAGTTGCTTAACATAAAATTTCCTAAACATATGTTCATAATGGATCGCAGCAGACTGGGACCCAGTGGTTTTATTTATGCATGTCGAATCTGAGTCTGGGCACAGATGCAGAACAATGAGAAGTTAAGTGGGAATAAGTTTCTTATGGTGTCTCTCTTCGGCTTGCAGGCTCCAGCCCCTTTGCCCTGTTGAAAACCGATTTGGTGGCGCCCACAGTCAGGCTGAGTTCCCACTCCGGGCCCTGCAGTTTAAGAGAGGTCTTCTGCATGAGTTCCACAAGGGCAACTCTTCCAAGGAGCAGGTTCGCCTCCATGACCTGGTCCAGCAGCTCCCCAAAGCCATCATCATTGGGGTACGGAAAGGGGGCACTAGGGCCCTGCTAGAGATGTTGAACCTCCATCCTGCCGTGGTCAAAGCTTCTCAAGAGATTCACTTCTTTGACAACGATGAGAACTATGCCAAGGGCATTGAGTGGTACAGGAAAAAAATGCCTTTTTCCTACCCTCAGCAAATCACAATTGAAAAGAGCCCGGCCTATTTCATCACAGAAGAGGTTCCGGAAAGGATTTACAAAATGAACTCATCCATCAAGCTGTTGATCATTGTCAGGGAGCCGACCACACGAGCGATTTCTGATTACACTCAGGTGCTAGAGGGAAAGGAGAGGAAGAACAAAACCTACTATAAGTTCGAGAAGCTAGCCATAGACCCTAATACCTGCGAGGTGAACACGAAATACAAGGCGGTTAGGACCAGCATCTACACGAAACATCTGGAGCGCTGGCTGAAGTACTTTCCGATTGAACAGTTCCACGTCGTGGATGGAGACCGTCTCATCACCGAGCCTCTGCCGGAACTGCAGCTCGTGGAGAAGTTCTTGAACCTTCCTCCGAGGATAAGTCAGTACAATTTATATTTCAACGCTACCAGAGGGTTTTACTGTTTGCGATTTAACATTATCTTTAATAAGTGCCTGGCGGGCAGCAAGGGGCGCATCCATCCAGAAGTAGACCCCTCCGTTGTTACCAAATTGCGCAAGTTCTTTCATCCCTTTAATCAAAAATTTTACCAGATCACCGGGAGGACATTGAACTGGCCCTAAAACAATCCATCACACAACACCGTGTGTTGTCCCTGGAGATATGTGGTGTCTCTTCTAGATTAAAATACGCACTTTCCCAGACTCAGCTACTTACTTCATTTCTCCATGAATACTTGTACATATGCGGTGTGTGACCAAATGCAAGATCAATTCTTTTTCTAAATTGCTGCCTGCAGAGCTGCACCTTTGAAGCTATTTACAAAAGAAGAGTAGTGGTGGTAGGACTGGGAGAAAGTGACTTCAGATGATCTCAAGTTAGTCTTCCTTGGATTCAGAACTTGTCACCCACCATTTTCATAGATCTAAGCCAAAAGACGAATGTGTGAAAATGTACCAATGGCTACGAAGCGTCAGGAAGTAGAGGATTCAGTTTTCTGGGTTTTCGGGTTTTGTTTTGTTTTCTTGGTTTTTGTTTCTTGTTTCGTTGTCCTAAAGGGAAGCTGGCTCTTTAATACAGATACCGGATTGGTGCCATGAAAACAGAATATGCTATTTTTTTTTTGTTGTTGTTATTTAAAAGAATGTCTTATCTCATAAAATTGACGTTGTCCCAAAGTTCCTGTGGTGATTTTGCACTATTGTTTCCTTGTATGGACCATGGCGTCATTTGTAGCATGTCAATCACATGCTGGAGAGTCAAGTCCTTTTACTTCCGTGTGTATGTCAACACAGAGAAATGTCCTGTACATATTGTAAATGCTGTAAATATCAGTTTCACACTAAGTAATTCTATTTTGTAAACTGAATATGGCTATTTAATTTATTGTGAAAATTAAATTTATTGTGGTATTTAAAAATGGAATGGATTAAAATTACACTATGTGCAACTTTTCTTAAAAACTCCTTTTACTGTGTGCGCCCCCTTTTGAAGTGTGGAGGCTCTCTCTCTCTCTCTCTGCGTGTGTGTGTGTGTGTGTGTGTGTGTGAGAGAGAGAGAGAGAGAGAGAGAGAGAGAGAGAGAGAGAGAGAGCTGCGCATGCATGGTGCGCCCTCTGCTGGCCTCCAGCGAGGAAGCTGTGTCCTTAAGAGGGACCATGAAGTCATTCACTTAGCCCTTAGATTTTCAATCCCCTGTGAAAGTGAACTCAAAAAAGGGAGGTTGCGAACACTTTACAAACACCTCAACCTTCTGGAAATCAAGGAAGCACAGCCACCTCAGAGAACTCGGGGGCTTCTCTGACCCCACGCGTGTCCATAGACTCCACATGCTGCTGTGCCAGAGAGAAAAGAGACCCAACGCAAAAGAATCACGATTATCTTTGAAGCTCCAATCACAGTCGGACCAGGAAATAAATAAAATAATAGTAGGACACATTTGTGGTCTCTGTACCTAGAGCTGCTGGTGCTGCATCGACACAGGAACAGTTTCAGAACTCACTTTGACAGAAAAATGTCTTAATCTGCTTAGATCAAACTGCACGGCACTGCCATGAACAAACAGATGGCCCACATTCCCACCCTGAGAAAGGAGCACTAAACTGGGTACCTTGGGAGCATCAGAGACTAACTCTGTCCTAAACACCCTTCAGAAAAGGGTAGGGAGAGTTATAACAGCATCAACACGGGTGCATCTGCGTGAGTAGTTGCTTAGCAGGGAGGAAATGTTCTAGAAGGCTCCGCTGAACACTAGGCTATATAGAGAATCAGCTGAACACAGTAATTTCCCCTCGTGGTAATAAGGGTCTGTTTTCTCAACTTTCTCATGTCCAGTAATTTGAGGATGATCTTAAAAAAAGATAGTCCTTCCTTTTCCAATACCAGTGTGCATGGTCTCTCCGGCCGCAGCTTCAGCCATCCTCTTTTCTGTCGGAGTTAACAGGACACTCCTGCCCTGGCATGACACTGTCAGGACAGCAGGAGAGGCTGGTCAACTGGTCCTCACTGCACAATGACTCTGGAAGGTAAGTCAGAAGTCTACATGTCAGTCACTTCTCTCCTAAGCAGGAAGGAGGCCAATAGAAAAAGCCTGTTCCTGTCTTCCTGGTGTCTCAGCTCTCAGCTAACCCTCAGAGCAAGCTCTCCGAATCCTACATTCCAGGGCATCGCCACTGGATTGGTATTAATCTCACACTACTACAGGGGCACCATACAGTTATTACAGACCTGTAGCAGCTACTATTAAATTATACCTCCACAGGAACATTGGCATTTCAACTGAAATGACCCGGTATTTATTTTCTTCATTATATATTGGCAAATTTTGGCCAGTATTACTTAGCACATACAAAATGATACTATGGTTTTGTAGTGCCATGTAAAATGGTCAAACTAAGATAATTAACGTATCTATCACCTCAAACTCCTACTATTTTATTTGTGTGATGAGAATATTAAAAATTTCCTCCTACTGTTATTCTGACTTTCAGTCTTGAATTATCAGGTGTATTCAGCATGCTGTACTTGATCTGAAAAACAAGCAAACAAACAAACAGACTTTTCCTTCTAAGCAAGATTTAAAATGCTCCATGTGGAATCATCATACTTTAGATTCCATTTGACTTAAGCCAAACTTTTTACCTTTAGTTGAGCTCAACAAGTTCAGGACACCAAAGGCGTCATGATTTTCAGTTGCTGCACTTTCTAAATGGGTGGATTCAAAGCTTTCAAAGGTCTGGTGGACCTTGGGGGTAGCAGGCTTCATTTCCCTGGAAAAGAAATCACAGCAGAAGCGATTAAGCCACGTAGAGAAATAAAGAACATATGAGTTAATAGCACACTTCCACTCTGGCCTGGAAGGCCCCCTGTTTAGAAAAAAGGTGTCCTGTTGTCATCAGAAAGGCAGCAGATGGCTAGAAAAATCCACAGCTCTTTACGGTCACTGCACCAGGGCTCTCTTTGATGAGTTACTGCTTTTCCATTATGAACACCTTGCGTTCCTCCCAGAGGCTTGGTGGCACTGTATAGCTGCATCATCAGATAGATTCTGCTGGAAACAGAACAGAAGTTTAGCAATGGCAACATTTCCAGTGAGTCATAAAGTTGGAACAAATGTTTTGGAACCCAAGGAATTTCAACTATAATTATACAAAGAACTCAAGGTAGCAAAAGAGAGCATGAGTTGCTCAGACCTGAAGATGGCGATCTTCAAAGCCCAAGTTCATTCCCCACCCTCCTGAAACCACTACACATAAAGCCACCCTTAATTCAAGCACTAATAATTCTCACTAAGTGCAGTATAATACAAGAGCCGGCTAAGATAGATGTTTTGACCCACAGCTAATGTTGTTGACTCAAAGGATTACAGGTTCTTCATAATCATGCATGACCTTAGATTTAGGAAATGTATGTTGATGGACTGTGAAGAACAGTCTTTTGCCAGGCAGTGTGCTACTTCATAAGGCCAATGTAACCTTCTGCGAACATGGTCGAGGCTGTGTCACAGGATACAAGGATCATCTTAGCAGAGAAGCACTGGGAGTAAGAGACACTGCAGACTCCTCAAGGGAGGATGGTGACCAAGCACAGTCTAAATTCTAGCCCGAATGGCAAACTATCGCTTTGTCTTATTAGTTATTTGCTAAATCAGATTGCCTTTGTAAGCCCAGTGCCAGGTTTTGGATCATAGTGTCTTGCTGCTGGAATCTTTTGTACTCTTTTGCACACAGTTAGCGGCTAATTTTCATTATGGAGAAGGGTCTGTAGTCTAAGCAAAATAGAAAGCTACAGAAACATCCCTCCTGAAAATGACAAAATACAGCAAAACCTTAGCAACGTAAGGTATCAAGGTAGAAATACAGAACATTTCAAAATAAATTTAAAGCAAATCTTACCAGAAAGTATCAAGACATACAGCAGCATATTTTTTTTTGTTTTGTTTTTGTTTTTCGAGACAGGGTTTCTCTGTAGCTTTGGTGCCCGTCCCGGAACTAGCTCTTGTAAACCAGGCTGGCCTCGAACTCCCAGAGATCCGCCTGCCTCTGCCTCCCATATTTTTTAAAGTACCCAAATTCATATTATTCAGGTATTTTTTTAAGAAAATACTCACATCTCCTTGCATCTGTTCATGCATTTTTTACTAGTAAGCCACTCTGTAATAGCTACTACAAATGTAAAATGTAGCCAAAATAGGACCATTTGATAACGTTCTGATTAATGATACCTTACTGTACATCTTACAGCTCCTTTATATTTTCAATTTATAGTGCGCTATTAAAATGTTTTATTTTGCCTTCATATTTTGCCTTCATAAATGTATGTGTCATCATGAGCAGGCCCAACTTTCTCAGCAGTCAACAGAAGGTATCAGAGCCCCTGAAGCTAGAGTTACATGTGCATGTGAGACACCACGTGGGTGCTGGGAAGCAAACCTAGGTCCTCTGGAAGAGTATCAAGTGCTCTTAACCACCGAGTCACCTCTCTAGACACTATTTTCAATTTTTTAATATTGCATATCATTAAATATTATTGTCTCTTCCTTGAATCTAAGAACTATTTCATAATAATTAGTAATGGATTGGGGACTTGAGGAGGTGGACAGCAGTACACGTGTCCCACCAGATTAGTGCTCCCATCTCACCTCTATGAAGAGGCTTGGTTGAAGAGGCAGGCCCTTCCGGTCTCACAAAGTAAGCAAGCGTGGTCTTTCCAGGCCAGTTCTATCACAAATCTGTGAGTCTTGTCAGCCTGCCAGCTCTCCAGAACTGTGGTGAAAGGATTTACTCTGCAAAAGCAGTTTTAGAGAGGTGACTCGGGTCGACAAGTAGTGTCATTTTGAAGAAGAAGTTGACTTTGTTCTTTTATAAATGAACACACCTCAACTTTGCACTCCCTTCCCGTTCATGACATCAGACAAAACTACCTGTCCCTTTGGTAAATCAGCACTGAGGTAGATAAAGCACAGACATACAGCAGGGGAGGGAAACTCATAATGGCTGTTTGTCAGGTAAGAGAATCTTGATCCTGATCCTAATTTTAATATAGATCTTTAAGTGTGGAAGTAATTGGTCATGCCTGCGGACAGTGTGTCCACTAAATAGAATTCATTGTGTAAACAGGTGAGCCCAAACTGAGACACTAGAGAAAAACAAGCAGCTTGGGGAAGAGGAACACAAAGGCACAAAGGATGCCAAGCTGGAAGATCGCATGTCTCTCCAGGATGTGAGCACAGCACAATGAAGAACACAGCCGAGCACAATCCGAGGTATGAATGAGTCTAGCAGGATCAGGAAAGTCAGGAAAGGGTCACATGCAAGGTAAGATTGAAGACTCACAAATGAACCTAGTACTAGACTACTCTGGGACCTGAATGAGTCAGACCATCACACCCAGGGGGTAACTTGCCTGATACCAGAGCAGGCCTACCTCCTTGGTTCTGTATCCAAATGAGACTAAGGTTTTACAGAAGAAAACAAATGCTAAAATGATTATTCCAAAAGTTTCCCTTCAAGGAGAAAATTTTTCACATAATGGGTGCTGAAAAAAATGTTGTTTTCTTCCCTTCCTTCTTTCCTCTCCCCTACCCTCACTTTATTTCTTCTAGTGTTTCATCGCAACTGATAGGGTCTTCTGTCCTTGCCTCATCTTCTCCCCCAGGACTGAGGCAAATGTGCCTTTTCAGAGGCAACTCAGAGGGTATGCTGAAGTGGTCACACACCGAAAGGCCATGCTATATCTTCCACCCATCTTAATCTCAGAAACTTCGAACTATAGTCCCTGGCCTGGCAAGGGACTCTGAAGCTGTGATGCAGGCAAAGGTTTTAACATGGAGATGCTGTCCTAGAGGACTTCAGCCATGCTCACAGAATCAAAGGGGTCCTTGAAACTTAAAAATCCAGGCAAAGGAGGACGGTAGGAGAGGTAGAACTCATAGAAGAGAGACGTAAAGTT